TAACCGCAGCGGCCACAGTGAAACAAGCCCAGCAGCAGCTATACTTCATCAGGCAGCTCAGGAAAGCTGGTCTGAACCATCGCCCCCTCACCCAGGCTTCTACAGGACTGGTAGAGAGCATCCTCGCCACTGGCATCACAGTCTGGTATGGTAACACCACACAGGCAGAGAGGAAGGTTCTTCAAAGGGTCATAAAGCCTGCAGAGGGGACCTGGGCCTGCAGGTGACATCTGACGTGAGCTGGTCACTGAACACAGCGGCCACAGTGAAGAAAGCCCAGCAGCGGCTATACTTCATCAAGCGGCTCAGAAGAGCTGGGCTGAGCCGTCACCCTCTCACCCTGGCTTATAGAGGACTGACTGGTAGAGAGCATCCTCACCACTGGCATCACAGTCTGGTATGGTAACACCACACAGGCAGAGAGGAAGGTTCTTCAAAGGGTCATAAAGCCTGCAGAGGGGACCACTGGGACTGAACTGCCTGCTATGGACACAATATACACACAGCGCTGTCGTAAAAGGGCAGAGAACATACTCAGGGATCCACGCCACACAGCTCACTCCCTCTTCAGACACAAAAACTGCACCTACAGCCTCAGGCACAGCAGGGCGGACAGTATCATCACACACAGAAGAAGATTTTACAAGAGCTTTTTCCCTGACGTAGTAAGACTGATGGCAAATACAAAAATATGAAAAATGGGAGAATATACGTGCAATAACCCCTTAATAGACATGTGCAATAATAATAATAATAATACAGAAATGTTCCACAAGGTATTTTTGTATGAGCATCTCATCAACAGTGTCCTCTTCTGGTACCTGAATAAATGAGGACATTCTCTACCAATCAATGGAAACGAGCCTGAATATAAACTGTGTTATAACCCCTCACTACCTCACCAAGCGTAATGCCATATCCAACTCCACCATGTGAATTACTAAGTGCAATGTTTTAAGTTCACTGGGGAAAATACTATTACCCTATTTTTGTGTATTGCGGTTTTAATGCTTTGTTGCCTTTATGTAACTTTTTATTTTAAAACTAAGTGTTCTTTCTGGCTTGTGACTCCTTACCTAACTCCAAAGGAGAGCTGCACAAGATTTCCTATATACCTAGACTGTTTGTTTATGCATAAATGGCAAATAAAAATCTTGACTTGACTTGAAGACATGGAAAACCATGACAAAGAGACACAAATGACTGAATAGAGAAAAAGTGGCCACCTCTTAATGTCTCCTTCAGTCTGGGGCACCACTGCAGGACAGCGAAGGCCTTTTACCTGCCTGTGCCCAGGGCCCCGCCACCTCATAAACTGCCCCTGCATGTACTGTATTTAAGCTGTATATGGAGCATTTCTGAGAATCACTGTGATCCAGCTGTGCTGTCGGCCACTGGGGCTAATGTGAGTGGTCTTTTTCTGGATGCCTTCATTACCTTCCTGCACTCTGCTCTGTTGAGGTTTAATTTTAAGAGATGAGAGATGGAGATGAAACTTTAATGATCCCTGCAGGGAAACAACATGAAATTGCCAGCTTATTTATCCTGGATTTATCCAGGACTGTCCCACTGATCGCTAGAAAACCTTAATGAGGCCAAGCGGAGACACAGAGTGTTCACTGACACTCCCTTTAAAAACAAATAGACCCTAAACTTAGTTTAAGGCCTTGATTCTCCTTAAATGTTCCCGAAGTTCAGTTCAGCTGTTTAAAGTTTTCTATAGGGTTCACTCAACATCCCAACGTTGGCTCTGAAACGAATCTTTCTATTCCATTAAGATTCAGATCGTTTGGACACTTGGGGCCATTTTCACAGAGTCATGGATGGGTGGGCTGCTGGGGGCCCAATGACCCCTCAAGGCCCTGGTTCTGTGCCCAGTGGACCTGTGCAGTCACCCATCAGAGCCTCAGTATGACAACACACAAATTAAATGATACCTTCCCCCAGTGCAATACCAGTAAATGTACATTGTACAGATTATACAGATTCGTACAGGTCTCCATTTTTATTTTTAAGTACTCCATTTTTATTCTATTTTTATCTCGTCTACCAATGAACATTTCTTTGTCTGACTACATTGCTTACTGCCTGTTTATTTTGCATTGTTTATAGTGTTAATTTTGTTATACTACACATCCTTATGTTGGTATATTGTCTACTTGCCCCTTGCAGTTGCCTTGCTTGAGGATATGTACGTGCACATTGAGAGCAGCTGTACCAGATTCAAATTCCTCCTGTCCAGCACACCTGGCCAATAAAGCTGATTCTGATTCTGATATAAAGTAAGAAGTGCTGCAAACGCACAGCAAGTCGCTGGAAACGTTAAACGTCCATGCTGTGCTCACAATTAAGGCTCCTATAGAGCCATTACAGAGCCCCCCTCAGGGGCCACAGCACACAGGATGACTATTAGACTATAAACTGCTCACATGTCCGAATCCAACCAAGTCAATATGGGAACGCCACAGGAAGCGCGTCACCCGGACCAAAGGTTGCAACATGATGCCACATAACAGATAATAACATAAAAACTGCAATACATTTCATCAAGTCTCCAAAACACCATCACTGACAAAACAGTAATGTTTTCTAGGAGAAAAAAAACTGACCTTCTCTTCTTCTACGGAGTTTAATCCAGTTTTCTAAGTCTTTCCTTCAGTTTTTATTGTTTTTTTATTTAAAATCCATCCGGTAAAAACAGTTTGAAACAAAAACATCAAATCACCACCTCTCGCGTCGAAGTCAGTAAATCTCTCTTCATTGATCTGCAGGACGGGGTGTGGACGCGCACGTGCACAACCACAAACAGGCAAACACACACTGCAGGATTTCCTCCGAGTTCAACAAAAATAAAGGTGTTTATGAATTGTTTCTAATACAAAAGCGGCGCTGCGACATGCTGAGCACGCACACGTCCATGCCCACTCACGCACGTGCACGCACATACAGGTCAAAAACAAGGTGTCCTGAGCTGAGCAGACCTCCCTTAGAAAAACGTCAAATTTAATAGCAAACAGCGATAAAGCAAAGCTGGGAAAGGACACGCACCCGCACGCGAACACACGCGCTGTCCGGTAACTGACACTAAACTCTCATCGTATGTGCGAGCGTGTGTGTTTTCCCTCTGTGTGGTTCCGGCAGGAAGCAGCAGCAGCAGCTGTCTAGTCCAAACAATTTCAGCCCGAAAATGAAAAACGCAAAAAAGAGAAAATTCAATATCTCAAATATTCCTGCAGGAGCGGAAAAAGTCCTGAGGGTGTCGCAGATTACTCCTCGTGTCTTTCCTTTCTTTCCGTCCCGCCGTCTGCGTGTCTGCTGGGTTTATCCCACTCCTCCTCCTCCTCGTCCTCTTCCTCTCCACCCGCTGCTTTCTCCTCTTTGCTTCACACGGACACAGCTTCTCTCTCTCTCTCTCTCTCTCTCTCTCTCTCTTTCTCTCCGCCAAGTCTCACGCGAAATAAAACGCCAGGTTTCCGGTGCTCGTTTTCAAAATAAAAACACTACTCACCGACAGTCAACATTTCTTCTGTTTCTTCATGCACAGATCCAAATCAACCGCATGGCTGGTTTGTATTTACCTATTTTAAATGTCCCGGCTTGTTACAAAAGTGGTTCTTTTATTTTTTAAATCTGAACGGCACTTGTTCTTCTGAATAAAAGTTTCAGACTTCCTGTGGCTGAAATCAAACTGTGAAATACTTTGCATTTTTATTGCATGTTCCTTACAATCTTTATTATATTTAGTTAACAGGAGGCTGGTTTGACTTTCTGAAGGGTATTTATACTACATTTATCTTATATTTGTCTGTTTTTCTGGCGTTTCATTCTCTTCTGCTTGCAAAACATGCGGAAACGTTTGACAATTATAATTTGATTTTTAAATTCATATAATTCTGTTTAAACTGTTTTTTGTTTTGTTTTCTACGTAATACTGCTAATTTTAGAACTTTGTTTATTCTGAATTATTGCTGTACTCACGAGTATTTTCAATCAATTTGATATATATTTACAGTATTGGTTGCGGTACTCACTGCTATGTGTAATGTGATCAATAACATGAAAAACAAAGTCAAACAACATAGACGTGACACACGGTTTCTAATACCTCCAAGTGGATACAAACGGTACTGCAGCACAATACAGTGAGGTTCAGTAATGAAGAATGAAGATTAAACTCAAAACGAAGACAGAAATATTCTGAATAACTGGTTGAAGAGTTCTCGACCACTAATGAAGAGGGAGACATTAGCTGTGGCCTGTTACTAGCTCACATGGTGAAAGCAGTACAGTGTGTAAACATGAGCAGAGCTTCGCCTCCACCAATAAACTTCCACCGCTGCGAATGTTGTGCGCTCATTTCAGTTTCAGTTTCCGAGGATCAGCTTGAGAAATTCCTCATTTTATTTGATCTTTTCCACCATGGACCAGTGAAGAGGTCAGTGGCGCCTACGGAGTTATATTTCATAGCGCACACACAAGAACTGCAGCGTAAATCTTGTGTTAACGAGAAAAATGTTCTTGCGTTAAAATATAGTTTTCGCGTTATTACCACATACTGTGGGCTATTTTGTCAGCATTATACTGTGTTTTGACGTGAATCCTGCACAGCTTTGGGTGAGTGCAAAGCGCACACTGTCTTTGAGCAGCACCTCATTCAGATCAGATGGCTCTCTCTCATCAACACCCTCCCAAACCAACTTTCCACACAAAGACCAGCGCTGCACTTAGGAGGAGCGCTCCAGCTGCACTTTGACAACTACTGATCTGACACTGAAATCCGCACACAATAATTAGCACACGACATAACACATGACTGCGGCTCATGAGCCATGATAAATAAAATATCCTGCACATGCTCCGATGATGTTACAGCCATAACGTCAGCGTGTGGCTGGAGACACACTGTTTGTGAAGGGTTAGTTTCCATCATCAGCGAGTGAAAGTTTGTGTTCCCTCCAGTGGTCGCTCTGAGTCACTACATCACACTGAGGCCAACGGGATTTCCACTAATTGATTGTTTGGCTCAATCCTCAGTATAAAAATGTCTCCAAACCTGGAGACCTGGGCATCAGCACCTCCCTCTGCCACTGGATTCTGGACTTTCTGACCAACAGGCCTCAGCATGTTAGGTCAGACAACACCTGCTCCTCCAGCATCATCCTCAACACCAAACACCAGCGTACCATAGGGCCGTGTGCTGAGCCCATTCCTCTACTCCCTTTTCATCCACGACACAGGCCTGTGCATGGCTCCAACACCATCATCAAGTCTGAAGACGACACCACTGTAAACAGCCTCATCAGCAACAACGATGAGTCAGCCTACAGGGAGGAGGTACAGCACCTGGCTGTGTGGTGCACTGACAATAACCAGCTCCTTAACACCAACAAGACCAAGGAGCTCACTGTGGACTACAGGAGGGAGAAAGGAGGCACACGCAATCCCATCCATATTAATGACATGGTTGTTGAACATTTCTCCAGCTTCAAATTCCTGGGGACCTGCATCTCAGAGGATCTGTCCACCAACACCTGCAGCCTGGTTAAGAAGGCTCACCAGTGCCTCTCCTTCCTGAGGACACCGAAGAAGAACCACCTGTCTTCAGCCATCCTGGTGAACTTCTACTGCTGTGCCGCCAAGAGCATTCTGACCAGCTGTATCACAGTCTGATATGGAAACTGCTCTGTCTCCGATCGCAAGGTGCTGCTGTGGGTGGTGAAAACTGACCAACGTGCTGCCTTCTTCTATACCACTACACACACCTCACCCCTTCTCATCTCTCCTCCCGGGACTAATGCAATACGCTTCTGTTACCTGTAACACTGAAGTGATTTGTTAATTTGCACATACTCTACTCACAGAATACTGCTCTGTTATTCATTTGTACACTGTTCATATGCTGATACTGTATATTTATCTTTATCTTTGCATGATTTACATCCATCGAACTGTTCACTCATGTAACTTATCTTCTTATTCTGCACTATTTCATCCCACTGCACTAGTGTTTTATAAGCTTAATGTACATTATCCATTATTTGTAACTTAAATACATAAATTCTGCTGTATAGTGTATATTACCTTAAATAACTTACTGTAAATATCAGTTGTACATATCATCAGTAAATTAGTTCTGACTGTTCATACTGTAGATACTGAGCTCCCTGTACCGCTGTTATTGCACTTCCGGTTAGATGCTAAACTGTATTTTGTTGCCTTGTACTTGTACATTGGTAATGACAATAATGTTGAATCTAATATGGAGAGCACTGCAGTTCCTTACAATGACCACTGGAAGACGCCAATCATCATCTATTACCATTTTATTTCTGCTCCTGACAGAAACAACATATGCACTGCCAGTGCAAAGTATGTCTAAACCTTTGACTTCTGATTTTCATACCAGCCCAGTTCTGGATCAAGTAAAATGTTGGGATGACACAGTCATCATTGTCATCATCATCTTGTTGGATTTCCATGCTTACTGTGTGTGAACAATATTCATAAGGACTTCTATTTGCACTACAGTTCTGCCTGAGAGAGTTTTCACCCCAGTGGCTGGTTGACAGTGTTCCCTGTGGCCAAACACAAAGACTGAGACATATCTGAGGCTCTGATCACACTTCACACATCCAAATCAAACACATTTAACCTGCAGAGACAAACTGGTTCACAGATACAGTATTTACCAGTCCTGTAAACCTGCAACTACTGTGCCACTGTGGTGACATACATCAGGTCTTCATGAAACAGTGAACTGCAACACCATCACATGTTCTGCAGGTTAATGCAATGGAGTAAAAACTACATTTATGTAGTTGTGTAGTGTAGTGGAGAAGTCGCAGGACATAGAAACATTCAGGTCACGTTCAGCTAAACACAGCCCATTGTTTTGGACTCAGTGGCCTCGTAGAGCAGCCATGCTGGGAACCAGGCATACAGTGAGTGTGCAAACATCATGATCAGATATCATGAACTTGGACTCACACACTAAGCATGCTCACAGCTCATGGACCTTTATTTTAAGACACAAATATCGGCAGCATTTGGCTAAATGTGGAGCTTGCTCTGGGTAGAGTCAACAACCAACGGCAGTTCCAGTTTGAGCTGCCGCAGGTCCATGGGAACATCCGACACCTAGGGGACCATCCGACACCTGATCCTGCAGCATGTCAGTGTCGGCTCGACCTTCAGCTGCAGCCTGTAAACACAATGAGGCTGCAGCATCTGCACCCGGAACTCAAACACACTCACAGCTCTAATCTCTAATGTCTGCAAACTGAACCAGAAGACACCCACTGGTTCAGGAGCCACCGGGCAGAGCGTCAGGTTGAAGGGGCTGTAACACTTCCTGCTGCCAAGAGGCACAAAAATAACACAAAAACACACTGAACTATTGCAAGACACAAAATGAGTGCAAATAGAGAAAAGAATGGCCCCAATTGTTTTGCTGACCACAAAGAAGCTTGTTTTATTTTGCATTGACCGTATTCTGTAACAGAGAACAACATTGTAATTTTTGTGTTGTTTTTTTTTTATGTAACGTGTGTGAGCTTGCTGTCTTTGGGACGGTCTATAGAATAATGATGGTGCTCACACGTTTATGGACTTTTTCTTGCCTGTATTTTGTTCACTGGACTGGACTGGACTTGTGTGTGGAGGCACATCCACAGAAACAATAAACTGGAGGTCTTATGATTATGAGAAAAGTCTAAAGAATAAACCAAGTTCTGCTCATGCATGCAGTGAGTTACACTGTGGGCTCCATTTTTTAGCCTATATTTGTGTATGTTTCAGAACATGAAGGATGCCGAATTAACCATTAACCATCTGTGTGTGTAGTGTCCCCATGGACGTACACACTACTGTCACTGGATCACCGTGGTATCAAAGGAAACTTAGAAACAGTCGGATTCTCCGGCAAGTTCTGCAGCATTTCTATTCCTGCATATTCACTGTAGATTGTCTCACAATGTCAAGATCCAGACCTCATTATTATGAGACAGGGATGTATGTCAAAGACTTATCTTCTGTTTTACAGCTTTTTTAGTGAATCACTAGCTTGGAGTGAAGAAACATGGTCACCAACCCAAGCTAACACCCAAACATGAGAACCAGAGAAAAGATGAACATGCTTCCTGTTTCCAGTCAGGCCCTCAGAGGTCAGAAGGTGTGTCATCACCATCGCTCCCTGCTATACCAACACTGACTCACACAGTTAATCAGCTGTGATACAACCTCCACTCATGAGTGTTGTTCAACAGTAAACATGGCATTGCCTTGGGAATCCACCGCCCTCCATTGTCCCCGAGACTCAGAGGAGGTTGACACTTCACCACAGTGTTTGTGTAACCTCAATTTAAACACACAGACCCAATCTATTCTGGAAACTTGATCAAAACCTATAAACCTCCTAATCCCTCAGATATATTAGTGCTTTTTTTACTCTTATTAATTAGCAATTGTTTATTAATTGTGAACACACTTCTGGTTTTAATGTTTAATTATCAAAATTTTGTCAGTTTTATTTCCCACTTTGTTGCTAATTAGCTGTTTTAATAAAAACAGCTAATTAATAAAAACATCCAATTTAAAAACTCATTTTCTTATGTTTGCACAGAATTCACTTTTTATACTAAGTTATATTGATATATTTGTGGTCATTCATTTATTTCCTGTTTTATCTCATCATTAATATTCTATTTTTTGTAACTATAAAGTTTTTTGTTTTTAATGATCTCATTTAGAGAAACATTTTTGAATTTGTGATTTGACTAGTTGTACATTTTGAATACTAATCTATGTTTATTGTACTACCTGTTTTTCACTAATTATTAGTTAGAAAATGATGTGATTATTGTCTCTAATTTTTATATTGACATGTACATCTTGACCTTTTATGAGTAATTATTTTTCCTAATAACTGTGATGAACCATTTCTTTTTTGGACTTTTTAACTTATTTAACTAATTATCAATGAGTACTTTTACAAACCCCAATTCCAATAAAGTTGGGACATTGTGTAAAACGTAAATAAAAACAGGATACAATGACTTGGAAATACTTTTTGACCCACATTTAATTGAATACACCACAAAGACAAGATATTTAATGTTCAGTCTGATAAACTTTATTGTTTTTTGCAAATATTCACTCGTTTTGAATTTGATGCCTGAAACATGTTCCAAAACGACTGGGACAGGGGTATTTTTACCACTGTGTTACATCACCTTTCCTTATAACAACACTTAATACTTAATGGGAACAACACTTAATGGGAACTGAGGACACTAACTGTTGAAGCTTTATAGGTGGAATTATTTCCCATTCTTGCTCGATGTACGACTTCAGTTGCTCAACAGTCAACAATATGGGTCAAAAAGGATTTGCAAGTCATTGTATTCTGTTTTTATTTACATTTTACACAGTGTCCCAACTTCATTGGAATTGGGGTTTGTATTTTTGTGACTAATTCTTATCTTCACAATTATAATTATTAGCAGCTCTTTTGGTCTTGACTAATGAAGCGACATCCATGAGGCGTTTATTGACTCGTCTGGCAGATACAGGTAAGGTTTGCCTGAGGACAAAGGGATTATGGGAGATTACAGGTGAACAGAGGTGTGACTGTCTTAGACCGACAAATAACAACAATTTACTTACTGTATGTAAGACAGGAGTTCACCTCGAGGGGCCAGTTTATAAAATACAAAATAAAATAAAATACAACCTGATATAAATGTGTATGCTGTAGGAATGAGATATTTCTGTCGCCCTGTGACAGACACAAGGATTTGCACAAATGTGATTTAACATACAAGCAAACAGGTAGATAGGTAGAACTTTATTGATCCCACAGTGGGGAAATTCCAGCAACAGTTGATTCATGTTTAAAAAGACAGTCAATTTTTTGGACCAAAAATAACCCAGCACTTCAAAATCACCTCATAAATATATAGTTTCATTGTTAATAAGGTTCGGTGAATTTCTAAAAGATCTGGACTCTGAAGGTTTTATCCAAGCTCCAAGCTCCAACCTCCGAGGCTAAGAACTGAAGCCAATATACAGTAGAAGTTCCAAAACATGCATGGCTCCAAAATGGACTCAGTCCCCATTGACCCCATGTTAAAATGCCCAAGTTTACAGCAGAAATAAACATGTTTACAGCCTGGTACAAAAACAGGTTTTGTCTCTGTGGCTAATATCCCCTTCCATGGCAACTGTAAGGAGGGCAATTTTTTTTATAACTCACATTTAAATTATATTGTGAAAAAAAGTTACACAGAAGTAAGGGTGTGGTCACTTTGAGTAACAGGTGGCAGGGTACCACCATAGGTGGCTAGCTGTCTAGAGAACTCCACTCATGCTCCGCCTCTTTGCACATTTTTGGATTAGCCATAGCAGGCAGAGTGAAGCACTACCAAGATGACATCGGCCAGAGTTAAGCTTTCAAACCATTGTTCACAACACCAATGGGTGATATCACAGTGAGTTTGGCCAGTTTTTATATACTGTCAATGGTTTTATCATCTGTAGGGACTATTTTCACTGGTGGATTAATCCACATTTGGTGCTCTACAATGAGTAAAATAGCTTCTTTTTATGGCTGTTTAGCTTGTGTACTTCTTCACCTTTCTGTAGTTTTTCTGCATCTCTTTGTGCTCATGTTGTGTCTTTCACCTGAACTCTGTGACCTTTAAACGAGAAACATTGCCTTAATACTGTGGCACAGGACCAGGGGCCCCTTAACCCCTCAGGTCCCAGACCTTCTGCCCAGGAGGTCCATCCATGGCTCAAACATGGACGTTAATAACAGAAAAAACCTCACAGTAACAAACAGTGAGTTCACTTGTAAGAAGCCATCTTTACTATGGGCTGTGTTTTCTCCTCAACAGAGGGCGGGGCTTGTTCCCACAATAAACAGCTTCCTCCCTGGAGCATGGCAGTGTTTGATTCATCACTAAACTCAGGGTGTATTTGTTCTGAGGAGGCAGAGACTGAAAGTTTTCAGCCCTGTTCACCATGACAAGGTTTAATATGACTCAACAAATACACAAACACAGATAACATGCTATCTGCCTTTAGTCCGGTTGGGGCAACATTTCACCTGATGCAGGCTTCAAAGCAACGGCTTGAAAAGTTTCCAACTGGTCTCTGGACACTTGGAGATTTACGTGCACAAACTAAAAGAATATTATAAGAATATTCCTGATATTAAAATGGGAAAAATCTCAAGTGCTTTATTTTGGAAGTTCTCAAATACATATACTGCAAATGTTTCTGTTACTTATACTCACTGGATTTTATTTTGAGTATAGATTTACAGATGTGCTTATTATAAGCAGAGCTACTTGCTGCTGGAGCCAGAGTTCATGTTGTTATCACCTGATATCTCATATCACTGAACAGCTTGTCTTGTTATAATAAAACTTTGTTCAGCAGCTGTTTGGCTTATTTTTCACTCACTGTCACTGCAAAAAACTAAAGACAAATCATACTTGATGGTGTAATGAACAAAACACCAAAAATACTCATCAAAATCTTTAATTGCCAAGCTGTACAGTAAATAGAAATTGCATAGCTCAGTGGAATTTACAGCATCGTTTGTCTAAATGAACGCTTCGTACAAAGGTCACAGATGCCTTTTGTTTTGGTTTTATCCCTGCCAGATTCTGCTGCTTCACATTTTATTAAACTCCTGACAAAAACAACATCCTGCAGTAACATCTGACTTGTACACTGGCTGTTTGGACACGTCACTCATTCTGGTGTTTTTTTTAATTCAGGGAAATCTAGCTGGTTTTGAATGAGCTGCAGGTGACATCAGCCAGTGAAATGTGTACACAAATCTGACCGACACCAAACTTATGAGTTTTTGCCATTTTAAAGTGCTGCTGCAACTGTGACACAGGAAATTAGTTTAGAATTGATTGTCTGTTGAAATTCAACAATGTTCAGGAGCCAGTGACACAGGTATGGATGTTTTCTCTTTCTCATCACAGTGAATTCTGTGTCTGGGTTTTGGACCACTGCTCGCACAAACGTCACACTGGACTCTGAGAAACTGATGAAACCATGAACGTTACAGGGAGTTTTTCCTCCCCACTGTCGCCAAGTGCCTGCTCAAGGGGGATTTGTTGGGTTTTCCCTCTGTAATAATATTTATAACAGTAAGGTCTAGACCTTACTTTGTAAAGTGTCCTGAGATGACTTTTGTTGTGATTTGGCGCTATACAAATAAAATTTGATTTGATGAAATTTTGAATTTTGTCGAATTTTCTGTCAATCAGCTTCAGTCTGACAGGAAATGTCTGGAAATGTGAACTCACCATAATAAAACTCAGGTCAAGCCACTGACTGTAAAAAGATGGATGATGTGAAGTGAAGCTATTGCAAGTCTATCACTCCCTGGTGGCAGTATAGGTCACAAACCCCGCCCCTTCCATGTTAGTGAAAGGGACATGAGCCAAACTAAAAACTCAAAGTACCAATCAGATAAATTTTACCCAGAGGTGGTTTCAGTTTTTTTTTTTGGTTGATATTATCACACTGCTGTGAGTGCACATGGTCATTTTTCTGGTAAGGTTGTTTTTAATAAGTTATTTCATTATATAAAAGGGGTGTGTTTCACATGATTTGACAGCTTTGATTGGCGGCCTGATTTGTCACTTAACTACTCAGTCTCGGCAGAGAATCTGGCTGCAAAATGCCAAGATGGCTGCCACCGTTTTCATGATATTTTGGCTTCACTTTTGCAGTGGAGGGAAGTGGTGACGTGTTGTCCAAACTTACATACAGTCTACGGTTTAATCCTGGATGATGCACAGACTAGTATTGTATTAAAACTGTTAACCATTTACCTCTGGTTATATTTAGTTGACAGACCCCCCCCAGAGAATAAACCATGATCAGCCAGTTCAAGCTTGACCAATACATCACTTGTGTTATTGATCATTTTGTACTATAATCATATTATTTCTAAACTGTTTGAGCATTTTCATGAATGTTATCAGCTGCATTCATGGCAAACATCTTAAGTAGCTTGGAAAGTTTTATTGTCAAAGTTCAACACTTCTGCGTCTGCAGTCAAACACATTTTCACATATGAAAACAAACTCCGAGCAGCCAGTGTCTGTAATTGCATAGTTTTAAACTTACAGGATGATGCGGAGAGAGAGACAAACATAAACCCTGAAAACACAGTGCAATCAACACACACAGCATAAGTACACATGTGGACAAACAACTGGAGGAAATGCCAAGTTCTTTTCATTCCTTCCAGGTGTTTGTCCAGTTTCACTCAGTCCCTGTATGATGAACAAAACAAACACGCTTGTGCTTCTGCATAGTTTTGCTGATGTCCTACATCATCTAACCAAATCAAACAGCAGCTGTAAAATGAACTTCCTTCACTTTCAATTAAAATGAACCTCAGCGAGTGAAAGCCTGTATCTGAGGTTTCATTTGTGGTTTTGACTTTGTTGTGTCATGTTTGTGTGTTTGCTAAAAGCTCTGTAATTTCCATGACTGTATGGATAAATCCACTGAACTTGAAAACCAGGAAATGACACCCAAATATGCAATGACACGCATGTAGGAGGATCAAGTGAATTTGGTCTTTTCTCAAATTCAAGCTTCAGCTTTGGAACATTTTACTTTTCAGGCTCCCTGCAGAAATGTCAAGCTGCGTCTGATCTGAAGATTCTGAGCTAACACGTGTAGAAACACCCGTGTGGTTGTGTTTCCTGTCTATAAATGAATCAGTCCTTGGTCAGTTCCAGCAGCCGATCTCCTCCTTGTAGCGGCTTGTCAGCATGTTGGCCTTGTGCGTCAGTTTGGACAGAACCGTGTGGAGTCCGTTGAGGTGGAAATGAAACTGTTTCTCCAGGTCGTCTGGGTCCACCTCCGTCACGCCCGCCTTCTCCTTCCCCCGCCCGTCACACTGCAGGATGCCCCACTCAATGTCATTTCGGATGGACTTGAGCAGGATGTATGAGCTGTACATGTCGCCGCTCTGGTGGAAGCAAGCGGTGCTGGTGGTGCTGTTGGTGGCCTGCACTGCCATCATGTCCTCCTTGTCCTCCAGTGGGACATCCCGCAGCAAGCTGGGCACCATCACCGTCTGGTCCATGTTGTTGACGGCGCTTATGAAGCGGTTCATGGTGTTGAAGACTGAGTTCTTCTGGTTGTAGGAGTCAGATATCTGCATCATGGTGAGCAAAGCTGAGGTGAAGCCCCTTGTCACAGCCTGTCACGGTCTGGGACAAACTTTGCCTGCCAATGCTCCTTAGAGGATTAAGATGAGGCCACAGTCAGATCCTGGGTCAAGTCCAGGTTACACAGCACGCTCACCACTCAAGCATGAATCCCTCAGCTGGATTCCAGTAGTTTTACCTTAACAGCCTGGTGACCCTGCTGGGGACGGAGCAGGTTTCCTGCTGCAGGACGGCAGCCAACCTTTTGACCCCAGGAGCTCAAATACCAAACAACAACCTGAAATACAAGAACAGAGGAAGAGGCTGGTGGTTAGCTTTAGGTCAGCTTGACTGGCCAGGTATGTTGAACACAGGAGGAGTTTGACTCTGGTACAGTGGGTCTCAGTGTGTATGTACAATGTTCCTCCGTAAGGCAACGAGTTAACAAGATGAAACAGAACAAGAAAAGAAATAATGTGTAAACAAAGAAAAAGGAATATGCATTAGGAAAAATTAAAAATATAAATAGTAGTAATTTTTGTATTTTATTTAAAAAAGAGCTATTCCCGTTATCTGAACCAGCTAGATATAGATGAGATGGAGAGGTCGTCCCCCCAGTCCACATGTCTAGGTGTGCTTAGGCAAAACACTGAACCCCAGTTGGCCCCGATGGCCAGTGCGCTATTCCCACCAGCGACGCCATCGAGGTGCGTGTGTGTGTGCGTGTGGCGCCGCAGATTGCTGCCGGAAACAAATTCCTTGTGTGTGTGACATACTTGGCCAATAAAAGTTTCTAAAATTAAATCATAAACTGCATCTGTAGTGGTCGCTAACTAAAGCTAGAATGTTAGCCAGCCGGGTTATTCCACAGAAATGGACGTGCATCCATTATCGGACAGCCGGCTCACACTTCTCATTCAAAAAGTCAACGAGCATTTCATTAATAAGACACAGACTGGTTCCCTGCCATAAACCGCGTTGTTATAATTAGATGTACAAACATTTTGCCTTCAAAAATCACCAAATCACTATTACATCCACAAGCTAAAATGTAAAGTAAAACGTTACAGCGTGACTGTTTAGCGATTTTCTAACCACAAAAGATCTTACAATTATTAACAATTCAGTATTATTAAAACAATAACTCAAGTAGGAAAGCTGTTGGGACAAAAACACAAGAAAATAAGAAGGACATCTGACCGTGTCTGAAAATGGAAGTCTCGAGAATAAACGCTATGCATTGCCAGATACGAAACAGAAGCCAAAAGCCGCTCGTGTTTTCGGGTGTACTTCGGCTTTATGAACACCGGTTAGACCGTGGAATAAAACGACGGCTACCTTAAAAATCCACGCCCTCAGTGATGAGTAATACCGGGTACCGTTAATTCGCTCCGTCCGTCGACCAGATCATCCGACAAACTTCCGCAGTGCAGATACCCGGTGAGCTCACAGTGTTCTGGGTGTCGCTCCCTGATCCCGTCGGTGTTTAACTTTAACCTGTTGCTGTCCGTCCAATAACATCTCCGGGACAGAGCTCCTCAGGGTCTGGGGGTTTCTTTCAGCTACCTGCAGCAGGAGTAACGGGACGCCGGGGCGGAGCGAGAGTCTTGAGGGAAAGCCAGATCCCCAGAAGCAGTCAACCACAGGGGAGAAGACGGCGTGACGTCACGAAGAACCCCGGAAACATTTGGTTCTATGTATTATTTACATTATAAGCAATATATACAGAGGCTCAATCAGAAATGGTAACACATATAATCATTACCAAACATGACGTAATACTTCATATAAACCTTAAATAAAGCAATAAAGTTAACATTTGCTAAATGAAACTACATGTCTACAAATATGGGGATATAACATAGCTTATACTGTACATGTGATTTACAGAAGTCATATTTATTCTATACAAGATTTATGGTGGTTACATATTTTTGTTGTTAATTGTATTTAATTTAGTCTCTTCTTCAATCCTAAGAAATGTAGATTGACAAAGAAACAAGAAGACAAAATATGTTTTGTGATTTCTTATACAGTATGTGGTGGAATTCTTTAAAGAATAATTTTATTTATTAGAACACTAGAATCAGAATAATCTGATATTGATAATATATTGTCAATTTATACAATGGGAATAAGAACAAGAAAATAACTTGTTTATTTATTTGATTCGGTACATTTCAGGAGCTTTTGCTTGCTACACAGTGCCTCAGTTTCCTCAAATCATGCTTATTTCTGTCTTTAGTATTTATTTCCTCACTGACTGATGAATCCTGGTGCTGGTGTGACATCGTCTCCCTCTGGCTGTAGGTCAGCAGTACAGTTTTCAGATTCGCCGTCTATTTTATCATTGGTTGTATTATTAGTAAAGTAATCACACTTTTTACAGTCGTGAAAACACACAAAAATACATTTTTAGATGAATTATAACAATAATTATATCAATAAAACAAAGTCATGCAAATACATAGACAAATACGAAATTAATAAATAAGCAATGAAAAAAATAAAGCAATCATCCAAACAAATCTGTCTGTTTTATTAATATAATAAAATATTAACCCAAAGAGTCATCTGTGTGCTGTATGAATGTAAGACAAGAACGTCACTGCTGTTTTAAATCTGGTCACATTATTGACTGAGAATACTTTGTCTTCCCCACATATGAAATTAGATTTGCTGTATGCACACTTGTATTTGTGCCATTTAATCATTTCATTTTCCACCAGTACATATACATCACCGTCTCTGTCTTTATGGCTATTTTCAGTAAAGGAAAAAAGTGAAGGTCTCTTGGTTGGTTTTCCTGTTTTATTTCTAACCATGTGACATTTTACAGTATCAACACATGGTATTAACAACAAAAAATATTTACCTACAATTCACTCAATCACTGCTGTAAAGTGTCAGTTTTGGCCTAATGTACAAAACACTGCAATAAAACTGCATGGTCCATTTCAAAGCTGTTCTGGAGCTTTCAAATGTGATATGGTCTTCATCAGACTTGTCTCTGTGGTCAAACTGTCATCTTAAACTTTTAGATTTCAGTAACAAAGTCACATTAACAAAATAAAAACAAAGACACAGTTTTAGTGCCACTTGAGATTACTCTGCCCTTATGTAATGGTATTATTATTGATGATTCATTGGCTTGAAACTGCCCAGATATCCACACAAAGGGAAACAAATTAGCACTATTCAGCAATTTGGGTGTTTTACAGCCCCAGAAACAAACAAACAAAAAAACAAGAAAAATAAACTACAAAATAAATGTCTAGAGGTTGTCTGCTGTTTTTCCTCAGGTTTCCATGGCAATGTGCATCCTTGTGTCTTCTCTGTAAACAGGCAAATAAGAGCAGACAGAGCAAAGAACAACAGTGTTTTTTAAGTATATGTACAACCATCTGAGCGAGGACACACTCTCTGGTCCTCACACCTTCAAGTTCAGGTTAGAATCGGGTTTAGGTTGGGACAATTTGTGAGAGAATGGGCCCCCAGGCACAGACAGGTAAAAAGACCTCCATCCCTCCTATGTAGGACTCCCATATTGAAACCCTAATGACAAAATGTTGCAACATTTGTGGCCATTTTGTGTGTCTTCCTAGTTGTTCTGTGTCTCCTTCTGGTCATGTTGCATCTCTCTGTGGTTGTTCAGAGACTGTCTGTAGTTGCCTTGCATCTATTTGAAGTGTTTTAACGGAGTTCTGTGGCTTTTAAACAAGAAATATAAGGAGCCATATTGTACAGAGGCACACGCCCAGGTACCCCCAACATCTTGGGCCCCTGGACCTTTGCCTCTTGAAGGCCCATTCGGTGATCCATCTATGGGTTTAGGTTAGGGGCTAGTGGATACCACTGAGTGATGTCAGTGAGTGTCCTCACAAAGACAAAAGTGAGTGTGTGTTCTTACCTGTCAGACCATCTCATACTGGTTGGTGCTGATGAAGCGAGCCAAACTACAGGCCAAAGACATCCCGGTCAGCTGGACACAGACACAGAGGGTGTTTATTTAGCCTTTGTGATTTTACTTGAGCTTTATTTTTAAGACAACATAAAACTATATTGATCCTCAGTGGGAAACTGACATGTTAGAGCAGCACAAAGACTGAAGTAAGAAAACAGTTTAAAAAAAATTTTTTTAAACTAATTAAAAGACCGTTGACAATTTTTACTTTAAAAACCAGTGTATAATATCTGAACCAGCCCTCTCGATACCAGCCAGCCTATCACTGTCAGCCGAGGTGGTTGCCATGACAACGGTCAGCATGGTGTTGGCTGAAGAAGACCACACAGGTTTCTCCATCATCTGTCTCTGGCTGAGCAGAATTCATTCAGTGGACATTCACATAAATTCTGCAAATGTGCGTTTGACCTGCATTTTAAAACAAACTGGTTTCAGACTGTCCAGCTCCAGGTCTCCTCCTTTTAAACCATCCGAGCGTCACCACATCATTTAGCAGCATGTTAGCACACAACAGAAAAGTTGCTGTCTACCTCTGCAGCAGGTTTGTCCAGTGAGCAACATGCAGCCAGTGAACGCTTCTGGTCCTCTGCTGATCCTGTTTGTGCCTCATTAACACTGGTTCACTGTCTCTTATTGTCACAAGGTAAAACACTGAGTTACCCTTCGAAACACACCAGGGTTCATCACCTTTTTCTTAAAAAATCCCTTTTTGTATTTGTTTCTACTTCTGTCTTCCCTGCTGCAACACCTGAATCTCCCCCATCAGGAGAAATACAGAATCATGTGATCTTCTGATGACCATTAAACCACAGCATGACACTGCAGCTGTCACAGAACAGTGGTGGATTGTGTCATGTTGTGTAGTGTTTTAGGAATGAGACTGTGGTTGATACCTGAGAGAAGGCAATGCTGAAGGTAACGCCAGCAATGACGCCCATGTTGCTCTCTAAGAAGGTCGTCACCATTTCATAACAACCCTGCACACACAGACACAGAGTTCATTTGTTTAGCTCGTCTTCATTTCCTCTTTAGTGTCCTATGCATGTTTGACTGAGAATTCACATTTCAGACCAACATTTGTCACACGCTCACTTGTGTAATGTGTGTGTTTCCCACCTGTCTGTAGGCTTTATGTCCAGCCAGAGTTATGTTCTTCAGGTCAGCTTCACTGCAGTCGGACAAACTAACACAACAGCTGGCGGGGATC